ACAGATACCAATGAAGCCAACAGGCAGAGCCCACATGGCACACAGAAAGCTGGAGCTCAGGGCCGTGACATCTTGCAGGACAAGAGAGAGAAGTTCTTCAGATCCCTGTTCCTCCAGCCTATGCTTAACCCTGAGCCAAGATGCTTCAGATATCTGATCAGAGGCATCTTGTTCTGGCTCCTGGAATTCTCTGCTGGCACATTTGACCTTTAATTTGGAAAGGAAACTTTCAGCCTGGCCTTATACCTTGGAAAGGATGCTGACACCTGCCATGTATTTTCATTTGGAAGCGAAGTAATTTCTGGTCTCTTTAATATGGTAGATAGCTGGGGTGACCCATGGGACAAGGTAGATGGATATTTTGGGAATGGTGATGCTTAACTAAAAGCTCAGCTTGGAAAGGCTTTCCATGTTTGTGAGTCTGCAGTTAGTTTGGTATTTATTTAGCTGCTAGTATGTGAGAGCTCCTCTGACACTAAGCAAGATCCAGCACATTCAGAGCTTTAAATATTCCTCTCTCAGACTTTCGACCTTGAGGGACCTGGAGTATGCCTGGGTATGGCATGAGTCCAGAATGTCCTCCAGCAGAGGACATCTTCCATTACACACCACTCCAAGAGCAGTGGGTGCCCAGGAAGCTCATGCCAGGGTCAGAAAGGACTCTGAGAGGACACCGTCCATGAACCAGGCATTGTACAAGGAAGGGAGACAATATAGAGCAGAGCACAGTCAAGAAGCAAATATATTGTCACTTGGCACAATCAAGTGTTGTTATTTTTAAGCTGATTGAGACATAGTGAATTATAATAATGAAGCCATAAGAGCGCCGGTGTACAGCACGTCACAGTTCAGTCTGTCCTCTACATGAGCAGGGGCAGCCTTCAGACCAGCAGGGATGGAGCAGCATGTTGTATTCTTCCAGTCAGGCCATGTGTTAAAAGTACTGCAGGTACAACCAAAAGGACACTTTGAATGCAGAAAGAGGTGCTTTTTGGGTGGTAGCACACTGCAGCCATTTTTTTAAGCGGACTTTACAAATGCTTTTCATTATGTCAAACAGGGAAATAACAAGGAACAACATGAGACTCACTTATTCCCAACAGCAACTAATCCATATGCTTTGCAATATAGCAGTAATACATGCCCTTGATAGCATGGTTACTGTACTCCTATCATTTACTTTGGGAAGGATTCCTTATATGTACTTACTTCATGCTTTCTGGGTGTCATCTATGCTGAGCATGCAAGAACATTAAAGTAGGAAAACAAATGGCAGAGATTCATTTAATAGAGTGTTCCAGTTAACCCACAGTGTTTAAGTGGTCCTGGTAGCACATTTCCTAGGCATCTCACCACCCTTCCTCCGTGCATTCCTTCTCATAGCACTTCTGCAATACTTTCTAAACCCATACGACTGAAGAATAATTAAAATACAGCTAGTGAGGCTCATTTGACTATTTATTACACCACATCTGTACAAGTAAATATAACAACTCAGGGACTCTTATCCGACCAGCTGGCATAGCACAGCCTACATCCATGTAGACACCCCACCTCCACTAAACCAGAGCAACTTCACCCACCTGCCTGCAGGGGATAGTCCAAGGCCTGTACTAAACCAGGCTTTGTCCCACACAGCATCAGCTAGCCCAGGCCAAAATGATGTAGGAAGCATGCTATGAACTTGACACAAGTGGAGGTGATGGTGGGACACACAGCTCCTATCTTTACTCCTGCAGCAGCCAGAGTTGTTGTGGTTTACAATATCAGAATTTTAAAAAACCCAAACATCCCAAGGCTGTTCCCTAGGCATTCCCCACAACAAGGTGAAGTACGAGTGCCATGATGCTAGTTGCCATCAGGACAGAACAAATTGATTGAAGTTTCATCACCTTTCTAGCACACCACATGGTATCACTCAGGTATCACAGTAAGAAAGCCCCATCTGGGGGACCACAAGGAAAGAGAGAAGCACCAATAAATATGCTATTGATCCTAAACTCATTGTGGTATCTTCATAAGTATTATCTATAAAGCACCAGTAATTACTTCTATTTTTCACCCTTCTATAAACACAAACATTCTGTCTCAAACAACATGTTCACATAAAATTTAATTTTCAGTATCTACTTTTTACAGTTATAAACTGCACTCCAAAAGACCACAAAGAGCTTTATAGAGGTTCACCTGAGGGCTTCCTTGAAATCTTCCTTGAAGGCTTCTGGAGAATAATGGTGATGTAATTCTGAACCAAATCTGAACCAAATCAGAATCTATCTCAAGAAATATTTGAGGGTCAGACCTATCAAAGAACTGGATTCAGTGGGCCACCTGAGAGCTTTGTAGCTGAACCAAGAAGAAAGAACCTCACATATTTCTGTGCATTTGGCCTTATACAACGCAATGACTTTCTCACATCTTCTGCTTTAATATAATATACTGGGGGTATAAATTTCTATTTTTAAAAATGCAGTTCTCATACTCCTATATCCATAGTGCTATGAGTGGCTTTAGGGTAGACAGAAAAATAGAGACAAAAATACATCAGAATAAGGGGTGATCCTGAAGAAGACCAGTTCCCTTTCAGGCTCCTTGGAGCCCTCCTAGTAGACAGTTTAGGTAACCATGAGTGGGCTGACAAACTTGTGTGTGATCAGACTAATGCCAAGGGTTAGCAGCATGCAACAGAGCAGCAGGGAAACTGAGTCACTAGATCTTCCCAAAGTCCGACCGTCAAGTTTCACAGCTCATGCAGGATACCACACTGGCACATTGAAACTGCAGATGGTACTTAAGCAATCTAGTTTTAAACCTCCTCAGACACGTAGCTGGAGTGAAGTGATGGTCTTAATCCAGTCAGAGAGAGCTAAACTGGGTATTTTATGAATTTCTGCCATGTATGGATGAGAAGCAATTGACCAGAAGGCTGCATTTTCTCTTGTTTTAAACTTTAGCCTTCTTCCAGACACATAACTCTCACCAAGCCAAACATTAAATCACATTAAGAAGGAAACATTCATCTACTCTCACATAAAATCCCAGGCTATGACATAATTTCCATCACATTTAATTGATCCTTAAAATCAGGACTGATATGGGGAGAGATGTTGTGACACCTAAGGCAAGGACCAGGCATTTTCCTAATATAGAAGATTGTCGCTTGCAGATTAATCATACTGATTAAGTGTGATGTGAATATACATGCAGTAATGCTAGCACATCATCCTGAAAATGTATTAACAGAAAATGAGGCAAGAACAGCAAGCTTCATTCAGGCTTGCTGCAAGCTCTGTTCAGATGACAGGATATAAAATTAACCCTAACTAGTGGAGTATCATCCTCCTACAACCATAGCCTTCAGCAACACATTTGGAGAAGCGAAGGGGCTTTGTTCATTCAGTGATGTGCCTAGAGTCAGTCCTGGTACATATTATGATAATATTTCTGCAAGAGGCTTATAAATTGCTATCAAGATGGCTAAGCCATGCCCAAGCTGCAAGGTTCTAATCTTTGGTTAGCAATGCCTTGTGCTGAAAGAGGTTAAGACTAAATTCACGGCCTGACATTAGACAACTATCTCTTATGTTAAAGCCTCAATGTTACCTACTAAAGAGCAGCAAGTATGAGAACAAGTGATTCTCTTTTGAGTAAGATATAGAGAAGGCAGATTGCAGCCTTGTGATTTCAGTACTTTAGGTTGCCTCTAACATTACATCAGATAGTCCAGGAACACCCAGCTCTGTCTCTTAACGTTATAGCTCTAAAAAGCAGCCTGGGGATTTGTTTTTAACATGGGAGGGAACCATTGCCCCGGTTAACAAACCGGCATAGTTTGGTTCTTTGCCAACCAAAATCCCAGTGGAAAGAAACTACCCAAGGATACAAAGCAAACATAAACCTCATGCAGAACACCTAGGTTCCAGAACCCTGAATACGCTCACTACACAGGACTGTTAGCAGGAGCAAAACCCAGAAATGGAGATGAGCTAAAATCAAAGCTGTTTAATGCTGCCATCAAGCAATTCCTGCCACTCCCAACATGAAGGATCCCACAGAACCACGTGGATCTGGAACACCGTGGAGCAAAATGTTTCATCCATCTGTCCCAGGAAGAAAGTGGTTCTGTGCTCACCCCTCAACAAATACCAAGATAGTAGAACAAATCCATTGAGGCTTTTGCAGTAGAGGCCAGTCCCAAACTGGAAACACAAATGCTCTGGTACAAAGGCAGATACATGGCCCAGACTTGTCCCACCTCCCTGCCACCTGCTGGATTACTAATTGTACTAATGTTGTTTCATTACCAACCTGTATCTGTCCCTAGGCCACAGTATGGATGTTTCTGGTATACTGTGGAACCTCCACCTCTTGCTGCCGAGTTCTTTCATATACGATCAATAAACAATTCATTCAACTCCATAACACTTTGAAGCTGCAGATAAGCTTGTTAGCCAGACTGTGTTGTGGCATACATCTAAGGTGTCTTGCTCCTGGGGCCACTGGCACACTGAGCAGTGTGGACCCTTAGCACTTCCTGGAATAGTACTCTTAATAGTACTCATTTTCATTTGAGGAGTTGCTGCAAGCAGTGAGGCAGATGAGCTTCCCCCATGCTGTGCATGTTTATGTATAAATGTAAATCTTTCTTACCTTTCATCTATGAAAGCTGAAACATCACCAAATGTACTCGTTTACTGAAAATTCACATGCTGGTGCTGATAAAGAGGCAGCTTTCATTCCGCATTATGTACATTCCTCTAGACCTGCATGAAATTAATTTTGGATTGTAATAAATAATTGCAGTATTATTTTTACTTGAACCAGAGTGGCAATCTGTCCTGGGTTCAGCAGTAGCAGTCATTTTTCTCCTCCTTGGTAGCTGGTGTAGTGCAGTGTTTTGACTTTCAGCTCGGGAACAGAGCTGATAACAAGGATGTTTTGGTTTGGCCAAGGACTTTGTGAGCCTCATGCTCTGCCAGGGAGGAGGGGAAGCCAGGAGGAAGCAGAGACAGGACACCTGACCCAAACTGACCAAAGAGGTATTCCATACCACAGCACGTCATGCCCAGGATGTAACTGGGAGCTGGCCGGAAGGGCTGGGAGACTGCAGGGTTGGAGGAGGTATCGGTCGGAGCTTGGTCGGGCTTGGGGGGCGAGTTATCGGTCAGCTGGTGCTGAGGTGTTGTATTCTCTTCCCTTGTTATTTCCTTTATCATTATTATCATTGGTGGTAGCAGTAGTGATTTGTGTTATACCTTAGTTACTAAACTGTTCTTATCTCAACCCGTGGGAGTTGCATTCTTTTCGATTCTCCTCTCCGTCCCTCCGAGAGCAGGGGGAGGGCAAGAAAGGGGGGGGAAGTGAGCGAACGAATTACCTGACTGGGTTTAAACCACGACACAATCACAATAGATTGTAGTTAATGTGTTGTACAGACAGTGAAATACAGGCATAATCTTGGGGATTTCAAGACATTAATAAAAATTAATCATCTCTTTTTAGGGTAAGTAAGTCTAGCATGTGGCAAGTATATTTGGGTTAAGAAAGCATTTCTGAGCTGTATTTTCACCTCTGCCTAAGATGCCACCCTTTCAGAATGTGTTTTGCATATGCAGTTTATCAAATTACACACCCAGCAATCCAGCCAGCAAATGTTGCAGTAGGACATATTAAAACATCAAACCGGAAATCATTATGCCTCTCTAACATGTTAATCTTTCCCACTGTCACTTTTAAATAGATGGTGAGATTTCACCCCACAACTGTGTGTCTAAACAATGACAAATCTTCTGCTAACACAGAATCAACCCCACTTGGAGTCACTCTGCCTTAAGTTCAGTAGTCTGCAATGCTGAAGCAAATTCAGACCAACTACAGATTGAACAAACACCAAGTAAAAGCAATAGGGGTAACTAAAATTAACCTGACATTTTACAAGAGAAAAAGAGAACCAGTGTCAAGGCCTCTTGCACATCCTACCTAAGCATTGAGCCCAGTTTTTGTTTGTTCATAACACTGCTTCTCACGATGCTTCTAGAGAGAAGCTGTCCTTTAACTCAGGACACTTACAGCATGGTTAATGCTAAATTTTGGAAAGCACTAGTGCCATGTTTAGTAATCACTATAAGGGATTACTTGGAAGAAGTCAAAATCAGGGAAATTGACTATAAAATTCCTTGATGTTGATGAAAAGTGAGTACAGTTTTCCATACACATCCTTGCGTTGATGCAGGCTGTGCCACAATTTCAATTCAGTTTTAATGATTTGGGTTTTTTTCACCATACAATTTCAGTAGAAAAGTCACCTTTCAAAGGAGAAAAACTGAATTGTCTATGTATCTATGTTTAACATCTTTGTCAGCAATATGGACCCAGCACCTGGACTGGGGCAATCCCAAGCACAGATACTGGGTAGGCAGAGAATGGACTGAGAGCAGCCCTGAGGAGAAGGACTTGCGGTGTTGGCTGATAAGAAGCTCAACATGAGCCGAGAGTGTGCACACACAGCCCAGAAACCAACCGTGTCCTGGGCTGCATCAAAAAGAACATGACCAGCAGGTCAAAGGAGGTGATTATCCCCCTCTACTCTACTCTCATGAGACCCCACTTGGAGTACTGCATTCAGCTCTGGGCCCCCAAGCACAAGACGGATGTGGACCTGCTTGAGGGAGTCCAGAGAAAGCCACAAAGATGCTCTGAGGGCTGGAGCACCACTCCTATGTAAACAGGCTCAGAGAGTTGGGCTTGTTCAGCCTGGAGAAGAGAAGGCTCTGGGGAGACCTGAGCAGCTTTCAGTACCTAAAAGGAGTCTATAAGAAATCTGGACAGGGACTTTTTATATGGGCATGTAGGGATAGGACAAGGGGGAATGGCTTCAAACTGAAATAAGGTAGATTTAGATTGTATGCTATGAAAAATTCTTCATTATGAGGGTGGTGAGGCACTGGCACAGGTTGCCCAGAGGAGTTGTGGCTGCTGCATCCCTGGCAGTGTTCAAGACCAGGTAGGATGGGGCTTTGAGCAACCTGCTGTAGTGGAAGCTATCCCTGGCCATGGCAGGGGGGTTGGAACTAGATGATCTTTAAGGTCCCTTCCAACACTAACTATTCTGTGAGTCTCCATAAATCTTGAAATATCTCATTTCACATCCCCAAAAGCAGTGGTTGTGCAGATCACATGCCTCTGACTGTGGCATCCATCTATTTTCTCTTCTTCTAAGTTAGGCACTATGGAGGGCATAGAGATCCTCTTTCCATTCTGTGTTTGTACAACATCTAGAACAAGTTCTCAATCTACTACTAATAAGCCCTTAAGTGTAACAATAATATAACAATAAATAATAATTGAATAACTGGAAGAAGAAGGTTGTCCTTTATGTCAGCAAGTTCTGAACAATGTAAAGCTTTATAAAGACAAAGCTCATATCCGAAAGGCCACAGAGAAACTCAGAAGCAGTCTGTGTATCACAATAAACAGATTCAGATTTGCCTATAACTTAATTTTAAAACTATATCAAGTAGCTGTAACAATAGTAAGAGAATACTGCAGGATAGATTTATTAATTAATAACTATGAATTCCAAGCACTTTGCAATATATAGTGTGAGTAGAAAATTGTACATATTATTAGACAATACCATAAAGCAGAGGGTATCCAATCAAGATGTTGATTAGTCTTCAGTTTCAGAATCACAAACCCAACCAATTCTTGCAAAGTTTCTAACATAAAAGCCTTCAGTCCATGTGTCAGATCACATGTCATAGCTAGGACTCACCCAGGATCTTGACACTGCATCAGAATAACTGATCCAAAAGCCAGCTTGAAGCCTCCAGTGGTCTCTGCCCTGAGGATCTCAAAGTGCAAGAACAGTTCAGACTTTAAAATCTAATTCATCTCTGTCTACACAGAGAAAATAATGTCCTGTCTTTCCTCTCAGGTGATTTTGGACCCAGAACATCAAAGCAGCAGGAGCTAAATCTGATGTTTCTAGATATAAAACATCATGTTTAAAAATTTTGTTCTTCCACAAATAGCAGAAGCAGTATGTGAAGTAGATTTTCTATCTTGTATCTTGTTTCCTTTCTTTCAAACTGGGACAATTTCTCTAAAGCAGTGATACTCATCCAGGTTACATGTGCATTATGGTCATTCTTAGTATCATAATGCTATTAAATTCAAGGTATGATCGAAGTTGTATGGATTTGCCACAAACATTTTTTGCAGATACTCATGCATTCTCCCACAGTCCACAGACTGATCATTTATATTTTCTTTGTATTTCCTTTGACTTCACACAACTCTCTCCACTTGAAGTTTGTTCCATTATTCTCACAAAACTGTTCTGAGTGTCTTATAGACTGATTGACACACGAACAATTAGAAGATTCAGAAACAATTATCCTCTATCATAAGATGTACTAGAGTAATATGAATTTTTTTAAGGAACTATTATAAATCATTTAAAGCTGTTTATAAAAATAGAAATGAAAAGCGTAATATTTCTGAACACTGAGCTACAATGGAGCATATTTTTAGATCAACTTGCTTTTTAGATATATGCAAAAAATCCTTTCAGTATTCCTCCCTCACATGCAAACTTGAAAATTTACTCCATGACTTCAAGAATGAAGGAAATACCTTCTTAAACTAGCGATAGAGGTAATAAACTTTCTTAAGAGTACTTACGGCATCTTAATTTTGCGAGCATCTTTTAGAAAGCATTGTAGATATAAACATGAGGAATTAAGAGATGTGTGCACATCTACAGGGATATGATATAACAGGTATCACAGAAACACGGTGGGATGGCTCCTGTGATTGGAGTGTTGGCATGGAAGGTTACAGGCTCTTTAGAAAAGACAGGCCTGGCAGGTGGAGATGGGGAGTTGCTATTTATGGTAGGGATAGGCTGGAGAGTATGGAACTGTGTCTGGGCACAGGTGAGCAGTCAATAGCGAGTTTGTGGGTCAGGGTTAAAGGGAGAACAGTGATGGGAGACATTACTGGGGGGATCTGTTACAGACCGCCTGATCAAGGAGAACCTGCGGATGAAGCACTCCATAGACAGATAGGAAAAGCCTCACGCTCACAGGCCCTTTTTCTCATGAGGGACTTCAACCACCCTGACATCTGTTGAAGCAACAGTACGGCCCGGCACAAGCAATCCAGGAGGTTCCTTGGTTGTGTGGAAGACAACTTCCTTCTGCAAGTAATAGAGGAGCCAACAAGGAGAGGTGCCATGCTTGACCTCGTGCTCACCAACAGGGAAGGGCTCGTTGGAAATGTGACGCTCCAGGGCAGCCTTGGATGCAGCGATCATGAGATGGTCGAGTTCAAGATCCTCAGGACAGTGAGAAGAGCGTGCAGCCAGTTCACTGCTTTGGATTTCAAGAGAGAAGACTTTGGCCTCTTCAGGAACCTGCTTAGTAAGGTTCCATGGGATATAGCCCTAGAGGGCAGGGGGGCCCAAGACTCTTGTTTAATATTCAAGGATCACCTGCTACAAGCTACAAGCTCAGGAGCGTTGCATCCCAACTAGAAGGAAGTGCAGCAGGAGGGCCAGGAGACCTCCTTGGATGGATAAGGAGCTGCTGAGGAAAATTCAAAGGAAAAAAGAGGCTTATAAAAGGTGGAAGCAAGGACAGGAGGCCTGGGAAGAATACAGGGATGTTGTCTGGGAAGCTAGGGACCAGGTTAGGAAAGCTAAGGCCTAGTTAGAATTAAACTTGGCTAGGGATGTGAAAGATAACAGGAAAGGATTCTATAGGTACACAGCAAACAAAAGACAGACTAGGGACAATGTAGGCCCCCTCTGGAAGCTATCAGGAGAACCGGCTCCACAGGATTTGGAGAAGGCTGAGGTTCTGAATGACTTCTTTGCCTCAGTCTTCACTGGCAAAGGCTCTGACCACACCACCCAAGTCTTGGAAGGTAGATGCAGGGACTGTGAGAATGAAGACCTTGGGCCCACTGTAGGAGAGGATCTGGTTTGAGACCATCTTAAAAACCTAAATGTACACAAGTCCATGGGACCCGATGA